TACTAAATAAAACTAACAAAACTATAATATTAAAACTTAAGAGTTGGAACGAGTTTACCGAATTGACGAACAACTTCTTGAAAATTGAATATCGTTGAAGACTTGAAGACTTGAATACTTCAATTCACCAACTTCACAATTTTTCACGAAATTGCAATAATAAAGCAAGCAATTATAGAAGAAAATTAGAGAGAGATTGATGATTTTGTGAGTAAAAATGAAAGAATGGGGGGTATTTATAGTTGAGAATTGAGAAAAAGTGTAACTATAAAAAGTTTGGGGTTAAAGCGAAGTTTGGGGGCCAAATGGCTATTTTTTAAAATGGTCAACGGATAAATTTTGAAAGCCAACGGCTAGATTTTAAAAATCTGACCGTTGGTCTTTTTTTTTAAAAAAAAAAATTAACCGTTGGAGCCCGTTAGACCCGTTGGGCCCGATTGAACCGGCCCAGGCCCGCCAGCCGGTCCCGGGCTCACGGGATAAATGTCTTGAACCGGCCCACCACGGACTTTTACACCACTAGAGCCCAGGCCCGGTTGAACCGCCCCGTTTGACCCGTTAGGCCCGCAGTCCTGGGCCGGTCCCGGGCCAGGCCCGGGCGACAATACAGCCTCACGGTAGTAGGAAAAGTTATGAAAGATTTGATTTAGGAAACGTTTTCTTTTTTTTTTTTCTTTTTCATTTTGGAAACTTAATTCCGTAATTGTTTTTTTTTTTTACCATAAATTTAAAGTTCAATTGCTTTCATCCAAAGCAACGTGATTTTTTCCCCCAAACACATGGAATCTTTTTTCCCGTCCATTTTCATATTTATATTAGTACTAGTCTTATAATACGTGATTTGCGCGTGTGCACTATCTCAATAAAAAAATATTTAACATATGATGTAATAAATATATTAAAATATTATATTTGAATTATAAAATAAAAGTTAATATTTCCTAAAATGATGAATCTTCATAGAAGTTCTCCTCATCAGTCAATAAATTCAACTAAAAGTTTATTTTAATTTTATAATTTAATCCCTTTAAATTCATAAGTTATCATGCTTCCTTTTTAATTTCAGCAATCACATATAATCCTAGAAAACTTAAGAGTTTTTTTTTTGTTGAAATTTTATTCAGAAGTTCATTTTAGGCCCAAACTGGATTAGCAAATTGATAAAAATAATAATAATTTTTTTCACGAATAAAATGCAAATTATGTTCTTTAATTAATAAGAAATATTATTTGAATTATTTCCAATATATTAGAAAAAAGGAATTATTGTATCTCATCTTGTATAATCAAATTAAATTAATTATACGAAGAAAAGGAGTTCTAAACAAGAAAAAGAAAATAAGCAAAACTACACCTAGAACTTTTTAACCAATTTTTTTTTTTTAAAAAATAAGAATTCGTAAACCTAAAAGTGGAATACGAAAAGGACAACAAGGACTCTTAAACAAAAAAATTTACAACAAAAAGATAATACGCGTAAACTTATAAAATACTCTTAAGTTTAAAGGGATTTGATAGTGAAGAACTCCTAGAATCGGAAGGAAAGCGAAAGAATTTGAATTAAATAATTATATGATTTTCATTTTTCTATATCAAAATCCTAAATATTGGGCAAATAATTAAATGACTATCCCTAAATATTAGGGAACTAATTAGAATGACTATTCCTACATATTAGGAAAATGACTAAAATTACTACTTTATTCAACAGAAAAAATATTTATAAAGGGTAAAAAGGCGAACGATATATAGCATGCGTGTCGCGCCCCTTTTTTCCCTCTTTGCATTGGGAGATCGGGTTTATGACATTTTGGGTATAGGACAACTCATTCCTTTTGGAAACTAGGTTTGCATTTGAAGAGTCGTCACCTAATGATTTAAGGTGCATTAGGACACCTATAAAGTTCATTTCTATGTTTGTTTGATAACTAGAGATAGGGTAAGAGCTTGAAATTATCCCAAGGGGAAGGTATTAGGCACCCCTCAGAATCCACTAGTGTGGTTCCCGGCCAGACAATTTTGTGAATTTGTACAATTAGCAAATAGACAAGTATAGGCTCAAGTAGTAGGGAAATTGGGTTTGAACACATAAGAGTTTGAAAACAATTAAAAGGCGAATTTTGAAAATGAGATATAGTTCTACAAATACTTGAGAATATAGAAGGAAGGGGACTCCTAGGTTTATTTATAATATGCATCACATCAATGCGATACCCGGTATGACACTCCTCAGAAGAGGGGATACACGTGGTATTAGCGCACCGGTCATCATATCCACATCTACTCTTTTCACCATGTTAAGGTATTAAAGCGCGGATTGGTATCGACCTCTATTGCATGCTATTACCCGTCCCATTCCTATCAATCCCGGAGGAATTTAGGACTACTATTCCTATAAGAGAGGATTTTAGGCTGACTCTTGGGTTTTTAAAGGTAAAAAGACTAAGGCGACATTCAAAACACGTAAGACTGCATATTAGGGGAACATATAAACAGCTAAGAGGCTCATATATACCTCCTCAAGCAAAGCACATAAATAGCATGACTTAAACACATTCAGGGTCAGAATTTAAAGTACTAAGACAGGGGAGTTTTAGTTGCTGAAGCAAACCAGTTTATTACATAACTCAGATAAGAAGTCCGAATCAGGCATTCCTGCTGGTTGTAGCGGTTACTAATTAACAAAGGTGGATTCAATTTTGTTGTTATCACCTAAGGCTTGCCTGAGTGTTTATTAGTGATATCCTATAAGCATGATATCTATTACTAATTAGGAAATGCAGTAAAGTAGTGACAGTTTTAAACGAGCGATTTGGATCTTATAGGCATGCTTTCTAAACCGTA